ATATATATATATATAAAATCTAAACACCAACAAATTTGATAACATTAAGGTATCATTAGGATTCTTTTAGGGGTAATAATGGCAGAATGGTTATTTTTTTTTAAAACAAACTCTTACCTTTTAGAGATACACACTGAATTCTACGAAGGAATATAATGCCTGAGAGGTGCCTCAAAATAATGTGAGAGGGTTATTTTGATGAGCCATAAGTTCATCATGGTTCAAACTGGGTGATGAGTCCGTAGGAGTTGATTTTATGGGTGTGTCTTCTTTTGCATGTTTTAAATGTTTCCATAACTAAAGGTTTAAAAAAATGGATTTGAGAGTCTTGAAAACACAGACCAATGAATTATCTGAGCTCTCCACAGGTCACTGACAAAATCTAGTTGCAGTGAGGCAGTGGACAGCCATTGCTTTTGGCCACTCTGCGCCCTGACTTCTGCTAGCACTAACCAGACTTTGCTTTAGGACTTGGGGCCCTCCGCCTGCAGTCCCCGAGAGGCTGCCTGCCACAGCGCCCGTCCACTTTCTGCCCAGGCCTAGCCAACCAGCTGCTCTCCTGTGGGGATTCTGATGCAAGGAAAGGAAAACTCTGAAGCTGATTAATCCGGTGGGAGCATCCTGAGGGACCAGGCTTGGGATTTTTGCTACTCAGTCCCCAAGGCAGCCCTGGCTCCTGCCCTTTCTGAAACAGGGATTTCGACTCTCTTTGGTTCTAAGAACTGCTGGCATCCGGATGATAAATTCCCTTCTTATTTAAGTTGGCCAAGTTTGGTTTCCCTGGCTCCCAACCAAAGCACCCTGCAGTCACCCACTATTCTGTGTTCTCTTTCATGTCTTCACCTTCCTCATGCGGTCACATGCTCAGAACCCCTTGGAGATTAAAATGCATACACATCAATTCGATCACCAAGAGAAAGAGGAAGACAAATGACACAAAGACAACCAAATGGATCCTTTGGAGCCTGTGTGCAGATAAAACACAAGTTCAAAGCAGTATTACGTTAGAAGCATTTATTAAGACAAGACAAGTTTCACTGAAGCTGCCTGATCGAGATGCAAGATGAGCTAGAGCTAGGGACCACAGATGCCATTGATTTAGTTATTTTTTTAATAGCAACATTAAATTGGGTAAACTTAATATTGTTTTATTGAACCCCATGTGTCCAAAATAGTGTCATGTCAAGCTATAATCAATATAAAACTATTAATGAGATTTTTGCATTCTTTTATTTTCAACAAAGTCCTTGAAATCCAGCATATAGCATATTTGATGGCTCACAGAGATTTGGAATAGCCACTTTTTAAGTGCTTAACAGCTACAGATGACCAGCAGCCATTATATTGGAACCTCCGGCGGGTCTGCAATATGTCCAAGTATTCTCCTGGGTCATGAAGTCTTAGAATGGCCTCCACATCTGCCCAGCTACATCTTCAGGGTTCTAGCTAAAGGCTCAACTCTACGTGGTTCGTCAATCATGGGGTTTTTGTCTGTGGGTGGGGGCTCCTACACCACAATGACAGCACCTACCTGAGGATGGCCTGACCCCACATAGGCAGCTCAAGGACAGGAAATCCACAGTGCCCTTGTCCACCAGGCCTAAAGGTGATTCATGAGGCTGGTCAGAAGTTTCTCTAGAGGAGTGACCCTTGAGACACTGGAGAACCGAGCAGTTAGTGGCGGAGGTGGAGGCTTAAAGAGATTCCAGGAGAAGCAGAAATCGAGTTGCTGAATAACCATTTGTAATTACCAACTCCCAGTTCCGTCTGGCATGGAAGAAGCCTAGAACTCACCGCTCCTATCAAAACAACAAACAAACAAAAGGTGAACAAATAAAAATGAACACCTCTTCTTGGATCCATGAGGCCCCAGAGCAAACCACTGAACCAACTGGAGAAAGATAGGAAGATAGAGAATCACAACTTCCCAGAGCAGAAACCTATGGCAGAAGCTCTACAGGAGCCCAGAGCCAGGATTGGAAATCCTAAACTGCCGTGGATACATGACTGGAGGCTCCGTGTGGACAAGTCTGAGAGCTAAAAGCTGCAGGGACCCAGTCTTAGGATCCCTCATGCTTTGCTGAGTTTTGCTTCTACCAAGTCCTACCAGATTTTCTTTTGCAGTAAAGATGAGTAAAAAAAAAAAGAAAAAAACTTTGTGCTTCCAGCAGGGAGGGGAGAACATAGTCATCTTGAAATACACTGGAGCATTCTAACTGCGGTTAGCCAAAGACTCTCTGCGTACAATTAATCTTTTCTGTGCCTCAGTTTCACCATCTATAAATTGGGGTAACATCCATAACCCATCTTGCAAGGTCACTGGAGGATAAAGTGATTAATGCTTGGGAAACGCTCTAAGTAGTGCCCGGCCCAGAGCCTGTGATAGATTTGCCACCACTGTGCTTATTTTCATTGTCCTTTGCTGCCAAACAAGGGAGACATGGAGTTCTGGATCCCAATAATCTTCCAGTCCCCACTGGTCCCCAAATCCTCAGGGGTTTCTGTATGGCTGGCTCCAATGTCCATGCCCCTTCCACATATCATCAGGATGGTCTGATTTCATGGAGCATCCCAAGCATCTCAGTATATTTCATTTCACCTCCCCATCCAGGTCAGAGATAGACTTATTCAGGTTGCTTTCATTATTATCACCAGCAAATTGTCAGGATGCCGAATAACTATGTGGCACATCAATACCACTTTCCCACTCCTCTCCTGGCATCCACATCACTGCACAGTCCTCTTCCATGCGGAATAGGGCTGACCTGGGTAAATATTAGGATCCTGTGGACAGGCAGGGTGGGACTTCTGAGGCCAGGTCCTGAAAGACCTTGTATTGTGGCTCCTCTGTGCTCTTCCTTGAATCCCTGGCTTCGGGGCCTACCAACCGCCATGTTGTGAGGACACTCAAGCAGTCCTGTGGAGAGATCATGTGGCTTCCTACCTATAAAACAGCACCAACTTTCCAAGTGGGCAAGGTGCCACCTTGGAAGTGGAGCCTCAGGGCAAATTTCCAGAAGACAGAGCCCTAGCTAACATCTTTTATTTTTATTTGTTCTTTTTAGTTTTATACATGACAGTTGAATGTATTTTGACATATTATACACGCATGGGATCTAATGTCCCATTCTTGTGATTGTACATGATGTGGACCCGCCAATATCTGAACACAACCTCACAAAATACCCCGAGCCAGACTCATTCAGCTAAGTCACTGCTACCACACTGATCCGCAGGAGCTGTGAGAAGATACATGTTTATAGTTAAATAATTTGGGAGTTATTTGTCACACAGAAATAGACGAATCACACACAATGCTTCACTTCTATTTTTTTTCCTAAGCCCCCACACAAGCATACTCTGTCAAGAGCATTTATGTCCCCATGTTTTGGTTTGAACACATTTCCTGTGGTGTCCGAGTCAGACATATCTTTTCCTGAATTGGTGTTTTAAAAAATATGTGCGAGTTCTAAATGACAGAATGTCTGTAAAATAAAAAATGAGTTCGCCTATTGGAAGCAAGCTGAAGAAACAAGTCTCATCTCTCTTAGGTTTTTTTTAGAGGATGATCTGTAATGGGTAAGGGAGTGTGTCCATGGATGATTTATCCTGTGCCTTACACACACACACACACACACTTTTTCTGCCTTTTGCAGTGATATACAAATGCAGTCCTTCTCAGGAGTGGCAGAGTCCTCGTCATAGTGTGATGTGAAATCCTAGGGGCTCAGGGAATGGGCAGGAAGCAATATTGAGGACACAGGAAGGATCTGGGAATGATATAGAAGCAGCAGGATGTGAGATCCAGCAGACCGGAAAAGGAAGGGTCGGTGGGAAGGCAGAGAAGAGTTCGAGTTCTCCAATCATTCACCACCTATTTATGGAGCTCCAAGTCTTCTGAGATACTAGAGGGAGCCAGCTGCTTTTGCATTTTGAGGATTTTCCCTCTGGACTTTGTCTCCTGACTTCAGACTCAGCTTCTGCTGGGGGAGGGGCTTCCCTAGGCTCCTGTCTTGTGCTGGGGGCTGTATTCTGCTGCCTGTGTCTTTTCACCCAGAGCCACAGGCAAAGCAAGGACCCCTTTGGCTTAAGGTGGTGAGTGACCCCATTGCCTTTCTCTGTGGGTCTTCTGCCGCAGTTATCATGTGTCGGGCACGTGTTGCACGGTGTGATTCTCAGATTTCAGAGAGTAAAGGGAGGAGAGGACAGAAGTGCCAGCCACTCCCAGACTCTCAGGGCAGCACAGTTCAGTGGAACTTTCTACAATGTCGGAGCTGTTCTTTATCTGACCTGACCAACACAGTAACTAACCATTAGACATCAGCGGCTACTGAGCATCTGGGATGAGGCTCCTGCCACTGAGGAATGGAATGTATGCTGTTATGTCATTTTGATTAGAGTGTAAGTTCAAGTGCCACACGTGGCTAGTGGCTTCTGAATTGGGCAGCAGAGCTCTTAGGCCTCGTTTTGGCTTTTATAAATATGATCTCTCCAGAGATTTTAAAGAAAAATGTTAATTGCAGGTTTGATCGACATAAAGTAAAATTCTCTTTATTGCAAAGCAGTGCTACTTCTGACAGAAATGTAGTCATATAATTGACATCACAATTGCCACACCTCCCCCTACCACCAGAATCCCCAAAAGTCACTTTGTGACCAATTTCTTCTCTATCAGTATTCTTCTCTATCTCTATCTCTTTTTTTTTTTTTTTGGTCTCTTCCAGAATGTCATACACATAGAATCACATATGGTACACATAGGATTCATCCATGTCATCCTGTATATTGATATCTTGCTTTTTCATTGTTGTAGAGTACTCCAAGGCCTGGTTGTAACACAGTTTGTTCCCTCCCTAGCTGAGATACAGAGGGGGTGTTGAGTTGCTTCCTATTGTGACTGATTTTGAATAAAGTCACTATAGTATTCATGTATAGATCATTGTGTCAATTTGAGTTTTCATTTCACTTAGGTGAACAGCTTGGAATGCAGTTGGGAGCCCTACAGTAAGTATACAAGATATTACTGCCAAACTGGTTCTTGAAGGGTCAGTACCATTCTTCATGACGTCAGCAATGGGTGAGAGTTCAAGTTGCTCCACCTTCTCTCCAGATGTTGATATTGTCAGTTCTTTGTGAGTGTGTGTGGTGGTTTTTTTTTTTTTGTTGTTGTTGTTGTTGTTTTTTGAGTGAGGGACTGGGGATTGAACTCAGGGGCACTAAACCATTGATCCACATCCCCAGCCCTAGTTTGTATTTTATTTAAAAACAGGGTCTTACTGAGTTGCTTAGTGCCTCACCGTTGCTGAGGCTGGCTTTGAACCTGCGATCCTCCTGTCTCAGCTCTGTGTGTTTTTTTAAGCAACGTTAACAGATGTGTAGTAATAGGCCATTGTGATTTTAATTTGCACACTATTCATGAATAATGTTGAACATCTTTTTATAGGTTTGTCTGTCACCTGTATACCTTCTTTGGTGAAGTACTTGTTCATACCTTTTGTGTATTTTTTAGTGGACTATTTCTTTCTTTCTATTATTATTATTTCTTTCTATTTCAGTTGTCAGCCTATCATAGTAGGAGTCTGGCTATTATGGGACTCCATCTTTGTGAGACAGCTTTAGCGGGCCCTCTAGACCTGAAGGGAGTGAAAGAAGAATTCTGTTTACATATTTTGGTTGTTTTAATGACTTTTTATTGGCCCCTTTCTTACCTTCTCTTTGGTAGTTGTCAATATACCAATGACTTTCTTTTTAAGGAAAAAGGGATTGCAAACAAATAGATGTCTAGACTTGTCAAGGTCACAGTGAGCTGCAATCTCTGGGCATTATTGTCATACAGTTTCTTGCTACTCAGCAAAGAATCATCTAGGTTTGTCAGTCTGTGCATAATTCTTCACATTTAATATTAAGTCAGCCCTGACATGCCTGGAAGCATATACATGCCTCTGGTCACAAAACGGTCCTGCCATTAAAAAGTTAACAAGTCAGGGGCTGGGGTTGTGGCTCAGTGGTAGAGCGTTTGCCTCGCATGTGTGAGGCACTGGGTTTGATTCTCAGTACTGCATATAAATAAATGAGTAAAATAAAGGTCCATCAACAATTAAAAACAATTTTTTTAAAAAGTGACAAGTCACGTCAGATGAGCCAGAGGAAGTAACCTTATGTAAATTCTCCCCCCCCACTTTAATTTGTGGTAAATCATATATAATATAAAGTTTCCAAACTGAACCATTTTTAAGAGCACACTTCAGTGACAGTAAAGCATTCAGAGTGTTGTGCAGCTATCACCCCATCCATCTCAGAACTTTCTCATCTCTGCAATTTCAAAGTCTGTCCATATTAAATTATTAAATACTGACTCCTCTTTCCTCTCCCCAGCCCCTGGCACCCACTATTCCACTTTCTATCTTCATGAATCTAATCACCCTAGGACCTCACAGAAGTGGAATCACACAGTATCTGTCCTTTTCATTGCATCTGTTTAGTTGCACTGAGCATCGTGTTCTCAAGGCTCACCCATGTTCTAGCACCTGTCAAATTTCCACTCCTTCTTAAGGCTGAGTAATAGATCATTGGATGATGTGCAGGTTTGGATGGGCCTCTGGGTGACTTCTACATCTCAGCTGTTGTGAATAATGCTGCCATGAATGTGGGTGTACCAACATCTCTTCAAGATCCAACTTTTAGTTGTTTTGTATTTATACTCAGAAGTAGAATGCTGCATTATAGAGGACTGCTATGTGTGACTTCAAGGAACCAACCATACTTTCTCCCATGGCAGCGACACCATCCTATATTCCTACCATGTTGATATGAGCTCGATGCTTCTCAAATCCCTTGGCTTCTCTCCATCTCTCTCCTTAAGCCCATCTCTTCAGTCCACAGCTTCCTAACCGGCCTCCCATGGATCACTTTGACCCTTTGTGAAGTCAGGCTCCCTGGTAGCCAGAGTGGGTGGGTTTTAAAATACAGGGATGTGCACACCCTCCATGCTTTTGTGTGTGTGGGGGAAGAACCAGATCCATATAGGACCCAGCACAGTCCTGCAGTCCTCCTTAGCCTCATTTGGTTCAGCTGACTTGGTCACTCTGCTCCACACACAGAAGACTTCCATCCACTGCTCCAAGGCACACATCTTCAGCACATATGTTCCTTGGCTGGACACTGTCCCCTTACTCCCCCAGTTAGCGCCAATTCACCCTTTGGGCTTTGGCTCATGTGTCTTAGAGAAGAGATTCCTTCTCAATTAAGTAGGGTCTGTTGCTGCAGCTTCTCATGAAAACGAGTCTCTTGCATCCCAACACACACTTCCTCTGTTCACATCCATATACTCAATAACGTCGTGCTTGGATTCGTGAGTGGCTGGGAGGTGGGAAGAAGGTAGGGAAGCTTCCCACCATAGATGGTCAGGTCTCCCTTCTCCCTCCTGCGTGCCGTTATGCAGCATGCCCCCCACCAAACACTGGGTCGTTGTGATTTTACAAGTGTCAGTCTGTGTCTCTGATTTTAACGTGTCTGTGACTCCCAAGAGACTGTAAGCTCCATCCGGCTGGGAGCTGTGTTTACTTTTTCATACTCAACAGTTATTAAAAGAGGAGACTACTTTTTTTTTTTAGGGGACCTGGCTGAATTAACAATACAGGACCAGGACCCTGCTGTCCTAAAGGGATCTGAGTAATGCCCAAAGTGGCCATTCCCTGTTTGCAGCTAAGGTCTGTGTTCGGGCATCTTAGTCCCCTGCGTATTTGTTGAATGGTTCCAAAAAGAACAAGAGGGGGTCGGGCTGGATCACCAGCGTCCTCCCTCAACCTTGATCTTCCGCGACTGTGTGAAACTCTCAACTGG